CTGACTGCTATTCAATCTATAACAGTGAAAAAAGTATTTTGTTTTTTTAAATCCAAGCTTTGTGTCACCAGATCTAAGTGGTGGCACTGACTGGGGAAATGGGCACAGTATGCACTGTGAGCCTGACACAGAAGCTGGCAGCAGTGGCAGACAACTGACTGCTATTCAATCTATAACAGTGAAAAAAGTTTTTTGTTTTTAAATCCACGCTATTGTGACACCAGATGTAAGTGGTGGCACTGACTGGGGAAATGGGCACAGTATGCACTGTGAGCCTGACACAGAAGCTGGCAGCAGTGGCAGACAACTAAGTGCAATTACATTACATTGAAAAAAAAAATTAAAAAAAATCATACCCTTATCCCTAACCTAGCTATGCTTTTCCCTATCTTATGAACAGCAGCTACACTTTCCCTCCTCTTACTAAGCATGCAGCTTGACAATGAATCTAAAATGGATGCCTTCCAGGAGGTGAGAGGGTCTGCTAGGGAGGGTGTGCTGCTAATTGGCTGGAATGTGTCTGCTGACTGTGAGGTACAGGGTCAAAGTTTACTCAATGATGACGAATAGGGGGCGGGTCGAACCGCGCATATGTTCGCCCGCTGTGGCGAACGCGAACATGCTATGTTCGCCAGGAACCGTTCGCCGGCGAACCGTTCGGTACATCACTAATAATCACTAACTTCTTGATTCTAAGTTTAGAGACTTTTTATGCAATGTTACAATTGTATTTCATTATGTGTGTTCACAACTTTGATGGATACTTTTATTTATAAACCTGCTTATGTAGCAGGTATTTGCTTTAAGCTACATTCTACTTCAACTAATCTATTTGAATTATACCTTACTTTACTTTTTCAAAGATTTTTTTATTTCATTAATTATTTCATTAATTGTCCCTGCCGGCTTCCCCTGTGACTAGGGGTTAACCGGCTTCGGTATTTGACTCCGCCCCCTCGTTCGTGATTGGTCCGAACATCAACCAATCCTAGAGGAGGGCAGTCTATTTAAACGACGGCCGGCGTCCTGGTCGGTTCCCTTGGAAGAGCCTCTGTGGCGAAACGCGCGTCGGGTGTAGTTAGTGAGCGGGTGGTTGGTGATTGATCGGGGACTATGCTGCAGCTAGTTTAGACGTTTGAGGACACCCTTAGCAGACCACCCTCTCTTTACTTTTACTCTTTGACCTGTACCTCTGCGTACCTTCTATTGAGGTTTTA